TTTCAAATGCATAAATACATATATAATCATATATACATAAAGCAATCAACGGTAGCTAGGCAGTAAAAAGTCATCCAAAGTCTGTCGCTACGGTTGAATTGTTCAGTGCTCCTGGGCAGGTGCTCGTTTGGGCACCGCGGACTTTGCTGCTGGTGCAGGGGCTTTGGACAGAGTGGGCGGAGTGGTTTGTGCCCGTGCCTGCAACAAGCTTCGTAGCTCTTCCTCCGAACAGTAGCACCCGTCATCTGAGGAGTCGTTCACGAGGCTCACAAAAGCATCCAGTCGAATCCCCTCTGATGACCCTCGATCGCGACGAAGCAAATCAAACTCCTGCTGCCACTCTTGGTCGCTGCCGCTGAAACCTGTTTGTTCTGCGAAGGGACGCATGTCCCTTGCCGTGAGATAGCCTTTGCCACCCGAGTCGAGCGCCCTAAACACTGCCTCGATCAGTTCTCGTCGCGAGTCCTGCAAGAGTGGAGTAAAGTGCAGAAAGAAGCTGCTGTGGTATGCACCTACCTGCCGCAGCTCTCGCAGCGCGAGCTGCAGGTGGCATACACCTCGGCACCAATGTGTCAAAGGCTCCAATGCTTTCAAGAGCTTGCCCTGCTCACTCCTGACCATTCCTGTGTGAGCAACTTTGTCTGCACTTGCTGTGAAACAAAACAGTTCCAATATGGCTGTGGATCAAAAACCTGGCTGGCTGTCGCGGCCGCCCAACAGATAGTTGGTTGCTAGACCGGCAATTCTGTTACAAGAATTTGTTGCGGAATGAGTGCCCAAGCCTGTCATAACCCCAGTATTAATTGATTCCCCAGGTAGGACCAGAAATTTCGAACCATGGAGAGCTAAGAATGGGAAGGAATATGCACAAAAAAGGGATTACTTCCCAACACCTTCGTTTGACACTAGAACTAACGCCAACCGACAGCTGCAGTACAGTACAGCCCATTTGCAGTGACCGGAATTCCTGCCTGCACCTCCCATTGCGCGCAGCTGCTCGGCATCATTCCTGAGTATATATATATATATAATTATATATATATATCCTGAGCATCTTGAAGGGCTTTGAATCTTTGGCTTTGGATCTTCATTGTAAAGCGCGGGCTCTGCATGTCATCATGATGGACTTCGCTTTTTGACCCATCTCTACTGTTCCAGCGAAGTTGACATGCTTGATTATATGACCGGCCCAGTGTTAGCTCTTGGGGGCCCTGAGCAATGCTGGCACAGCCTAACTTACTTCTTCCTGCTGATTGCAGCTACACACCACTTAGTCCGGACCCACTTCCACACAAGAACATCCTTTTCATTAAGCAGCTGCACAGCTCAGGTTGTGGAAAAATGTAACCGTGAGCTATTGTTGCCAGGGTGTGCCCACAGGCAGAGCTGTATGGTGCATTTGATTCAATAGCAGATGACCCGTCGCTGCATCTGCGCTGAAACTTCAGCAGTGGGACTGGGCAGTTACTTCAATGTCTTTTTTGAAGAGCTTGTTGTTGTTGGCTAGGGGCGTACTGATTAAAACTCGCTGAGCTCCAACAAAGTTTTGCCCGATCCTGAAAGCTTGAAGAGCCGAACTTCGGCATGCACCATCAAGAGCCGCTAGACAACGAAGGTTAAGCTGATGTGAGCGGAGCCAAAAGCCTAGAGGTAAGACGTTATCAATGAAGTTTGTTACTTTTAGCGTTTCCCATGAAGTAACATAAGCTACTACGTTATCGTTTTAGCGATTTGCTCTCCATGATCGGTGCGCGCCGGTAGACTGTGTCGGTTCTATGGTTTAGGTGTTTGTCCCAGCTCATGTGCAGTCTGAAAACAAAAACTATCCAACGTCTTGAGGATGTCAGTTTCGCTTATCCGTCACGCGTCCTTGGCATGAGAACAACAAGTCACAGCTGGTCCCTGTTTTAGATTGTTAAGGCTTCAGCAGGGTAACGTACCGATCTGGTTCCATCCCCATTTCATGTGGGCAAGCTGAGTGGCAACTCACGACCCATTTGCAGCAGCCTCTGCGTCGCCACGGGGAGGTTGAGCATCGCCCTGCCAAAGCTTTCTGAAGGAACACAAGCACAAGAAACTCTTGCGCACGAAGTCACGACAGCGAAGGCCCTGGCTCCAGACGGCTCTTCACATCCATCACCTCTTTACAACAACGATGAACTCCGGTAAAAACTGCGAACACCCCATGCAGCCGCGCCGTCTCCTCCGAACTCACTTCCAAGAGATGCTCGGAGCCTGCTGAAGGGCTGTACCCCGTGATTGCAGACTCCAACCCTTGCGAAGAGTGACTAGCCTTGGGACGTGCGGATCCGAAGCTTCACCGAAGACTGCATAGGAGATGACCGCATGTCAGGCCGCACGTGTCCGGCCATGGGCTTCGGCTGGCTTTCTGGCGGCGTATGATCCGGTGGAGGTGCCTTGGGCAAGCTGGTGAAGAAGTCTGCAGTGCGGGAGCTGGGGATGGGGAGGTCAGTCCTTGTGTTGTGCCAGCTGTGCGCGCTCGGCCTCAGAAACGTCAAATGCCAAAGCTCGCCCCGAGGCCTCACGTGTCGTCTTGAGCGTCGTCAGCCCGCGGCCCAGGTGAGGCCGTCGGACCCGGATCTCAGTCCAGTGAACACGAACTGCTGTTGCTTGCTGCAAAGCGCGAAAATGAGCTCCTGACGTTGGAAGGGTGCGAGGCCCAAAGTCAGCGGCGAAATTCGGGGCGCGTTGCTCCTGGCAGGTTGCCTTCACTTTAGTAGCGGCTTGGCATGACTTGGCTTCTTTGGACTCAGTGCCTGGGAGCGCCGCTGCCGTAGGACATCTGCCAGACTCGACGGCGCGGCAGTGCCAAGGGCCGGGGCCCCTCCTTTCTTTTCATCCAAATCAGGATTCCTAAGATACGAAAAGTGCCAGGCTCCGGGCCCGAAGCGACGACGTAGCTGATGTTCAAAGGCTTGTAAGTTCTTCGAGTTCCTGTCTGGAACGTCGTCTGATGCACAGGGCACTCACTCCTTCGCATGTTCTTCTTCTTCTACTGGCGATACCTTTTATCGAGGGGGCAGGCCAGGGCTACGCCCTGTCGCTGCGCTTCCCTCCTGTACACTGCGAAATTGGAGAAACTCCAGCGAAATGGTTCTTGGCAGTCATCCCCACCCTCCCTCTTCTCCCTTCCCTTCCGGTGTGTCTGGAAATTACCATGCCAGGAAAACTGTCAAATACCGAGCCAAGGAAGGTTAAGGAGTGATATGCCTATCACCTCAACCAGCATCCGACGACCTTGACCACCACTCCTCCCTGCATCTCACTGCCGTGAGTGTCTAGATCATGGCACTTCTCCTCAGATCCGACATTGATATGCATGGTGTTGTGCTCTCCGAATTTGTGGTAGGCGAGGAGTTCATCACTGACATCGGTACCCTACAAAGCCCCAAAACAATCTCCTCACCCAATCCAAGAAAAGAGGAAACCAAGTGTTCTCTCTCTCTCTCTCTCTCTTCTTCTTCCCCTGTCCAGGCCTTTCTTCGACCGGCCCTGAGTCGTCGGTGCATTCAGGAGGCCCTGTGCATCCTCCTCCTCTTGCAGCATCTGCCTAAATCAGATTTACAACAAATGAGGAGGAGGTTTTCAAGAACTGGGCCACCGGACGCCAAGAGCAGGTCAGCTGCCAGCGTGTCCTCCTCTTGCGGCGACCTGAAGCGAAGTTCAGCTGCTATTTTCTTTTGCAGGGGAGAATGTGGCAAAGCTCCCCACACTCGTGAGGGTCCAGCGGCTGCACGGGGAGCCTGGCAATTGCATTATATAGTCCCAACACATTACGAGTAACATCCATCAGCGCTGCATGTGTTTTTCAGCAAGGGTACCATTACCAAGCAGGGTATCAAGCTTTGATGAGTCTCAGCCATAGGGGCATTCCCAATTTTCTGGTGGCAAGCAGCAAGCTGCCCGAAACTGCAAATCAAAGAATACCAAGTACGTTTCTGGAGCCAAGAGCGCTCGGAAGTCAAGCGGCTTTCCCCTCCAGCCCATCTACTAGGTGGGCACAGACATCATATCACAGCAACAGTCAAGAGCCACACTCTCAAAGCTTCCGGCGAGATATGGCATCAGGAGCCATGACTATGTAGTTACCTTTTAAAGCCAAACAGGCCTTGGAAGATCCCGACTTCCCAACAGAACAAAAACAAAGCGCAGTCGGTGGCCTGCAGCTGCGTCCTGGGGCAAAGCAACGTGGAGCGAAACATGTGCGGCAGTCGCATGGGGCAGCCCTTTGGCAGGATTGTGCCTCTCAGCTTCAGTTCTGAGCTGGGCTGCAAGTGCTGTCCGTTCTGACTTTGACCTGGGCTTGGAGCGAAATGCGCTTGGACAACACTTTGAATTAAATCACCCAGGCTCCTGGCCACTTGGGGCAAAAGTCTTGGATCAGCTCCAAGAGTTCCGCCGTCTCGGACGCAGGCGCTACCTTAAGCAAGTAGTCCAATACCTGCCAAAGATTCAGCAACAGTCTGACCAAAGGAAAGCCCCGGATAGGGAGACTTGCGCACCCACCCCGGGCTGATCTCAACACATGCTCGGTAAGCGGTACCATGCCCTCCCTCTCCCGACTACAATTGGAAATTGTTGCATCATGCCATGTGTCTGGGCACGCTGGGCACATCGGGCACCTCATCATCAAAGGGCAAGCGTTTGCCCGTCAGGGAGCTTTCGAGACGTACTCGAGCAGCGCCAGCTGGATTGGCCATTCGCTGTTCTATGTGCCATGCACGCCTGTTGGCGCCTTGCAAGCTGGTCTGCTGATTTGTGCGAGTGCTGTCATGGCTCCTAGACGTGACTATGTTCGTGCTCTGGCCCATATCTTTTGCTGCCATTCTGCTTGGATTATGGGTTGAGTGGCTCAATATGTTTTGGGTCTGATTTGAATATGCCTGACACAAAATGCTGGATAGGCTGCTGCAACCAAAGTTGGGCAAGGCACAGCACCAAACCACAAAGTTACGTTTTCTTTTCGCGCCGCCTCGTGGTCATGGCCTCTGGGACGATCCGCCCCGCAGCTCCCGAAAATAAGCTAAGCAGCGGACATCACCACAACAATCCTCCCGAAGAGATACCGCATCTTGTGCCGCGTCCTGCATCGGACTCCGACATCTACATGCATGCTTGAGTAGGCGCACGTCGGGTCCTCAAAGGAACGTTTTGCAGCCTCTGCAGGCCATGCTCGGCTTTGTCGACAGCGTTGCCACGCGCGGAGCCTGCTACACCAAAGCAATACTCACACTGCATAGCTAGGATTTTACGTCTGTAGCGTCTTTCAGCAACAGTCAAGGGCAAGGGGCAAATCTTGCTGCCCGCCGGAGACTTGACAGGCCTGGTCAAAATACGAGCGTTCCGTTTGCGCACCACATCTCCCCTTCAATATGTCCGTGGGAAGCTTGCCTGCTGTGCTGCTTTCTTCGCTGTAACGGCGAATCGGCAGTACCTGTCTGCAAAGATGTTGCTGACCGCCGTCCAAGAAATGTTCTCATGGGGCAACACGTATATAAAGAGCCTTGAAGGTCTCATCTATAAAACGTTGACGAAACTAACCTACCACACTAGAAATCAAAAGCACAAATCCCTTCGAACCGATAAGCTATCATGAGACCAAACGTTGACTTGCAATTGAAGATTTTTTGCTGCAGCCGATGTGCGAGGACAATGCCACGGCGCGCTCCAAGCCGGTTCGCCGCTTCACGGCCTCGGCTGCCTCCTTGATTCTTCTGTCCTGCAGTACTGCAGTTTGGTAGTTTGGGTTGCTGAATTCTGAATCTGTATTGAACACAGAGCCCACTGCCACCCTCACCTCCCAAGCACGCCGACACCACCAGGCCAGGAGTTCTTCTCGTGCTTGCACGAAAGCAAACGAAGCCTGCAACAACTAGATACGAATTCCAGCGCTCTATGCTTTGGCCAGGGTGTTGCTGGCCTGCATATCCTGCGTTCCCTCATCTGCCAAGCTTTGGCATATTGCCTGCTCTGCGCATTGTGCGTCGTAGCGGCACAGACGGAAGGTCTGCTCCACCAGACGTTCATGCTGTGGGCTTGGAGCCGCATAGCTGAAACAGGCCTGGTGGTGCAACCACTCCACAACACCTTTCAGCTGAACGTCCGGGGGTACCAACATGTGCGAGCAACATTTTGCAACAGCTGGAATATGCGGGGAAAGAAACAAGCATGGTGGGCACCTGGGCTGGGACCGCCCACGGCCATGGCTTCGCTGTTTAGAAGCACAGCGCCGGATCCAGTCCTGCTTGCCATGGGCGTGGAGATGCGAGGAATTGCCTCCACGTGGGAAAGGCCATCGTCATCTCGCATGTGTGTCGAGGAGATTTAGTGGGGAACCACACCGGCGCATAACAATAACCTGTCCACCCTTTCACTTTAACTCGCTGCCAAGCAATGGATATGATGTGACTGGTGCTGCGTGGGGTTTGTGCTTAACAAAGCAGTCGGATTACTAGACTAGCATGCGCGCCTGTCTGTGACGTCTGCTCGCAGACCCACTGCGCTTGCTCGGCATGGTTGCCACACGTGAAAGCTGACCATATGTTGCAATCAGAGGACACCATTTGTGTTGCAGTATGTCTGGGCCTCATTTGCAGCGGGCCTATCGGCTCGAGCCAAGAAGCTCTTTACGAGCATGCCATTATTAGCACTACCATAGCGACAGTCGCACTGACTTTTGAGGCTCGAGGCGAAACGAGCCACCGGTTGGTCGGGCGGGGTGGTGCCGGGTTTGGGGTGTAGGCAGGTGGCAAAACACACGAGTTGTTTCTGGGGGCTGCCCCCCCACCCCCCCGCAGCCGCTTCAGAAAATCGTGTTGTTCTTCACCCTACGAGTATTTACGCATCAGAATCACGATTATAGTGTTCGACTTGTTCTTCATTTCATTTGATTGCTAAGCTAAACGAATTACACCTGATCCTTGCACTTTTGCTATGGATAACAGTACCACATATATATATATAGCAATGATGGAGGGGTTGTTTGTGTTTTGGCACTGCCACCAAACTGGGGTCACAGGATAACAGTGTCCTTCGCTGTAAATAGAAAAATGCGTTCCATGTCTTTAATGACATGGCCACTATAAAGTTCATCATTGTTGAGCAACCATAACATTAGCAACAAAACAACATCATTATTCAAACGTATTGTTGAATGTTCGAAATGCCTGGAGTGTTGAGATGAGCGATAATGGATATGACAATGATAGTGATGGGAATTTAGAAATCAAGCCTACACGCCGTTTTCTTGAAGTGTGCAAGTTGCTTATTCCAGTAACTGCCCTAGATGCGACCAATTACAAACAAACAGCAAATATTATTAGGGAATGTCACGCCTTATATAGTTTCTAACATCTGATTGCAGACGATGCTTCTTGGGATACATGTTGTAGACAAAACAAGTCTATGGGATGATTCCGTCTACCCCATTTACTAGAGTCTTCAGATATCTCAAATATCCAGATTACAAAGAAAGCCGCCAAATATTAGATAATTTTGCAGACTTGTCCATGCTTGAGATATCTTGAGATGCATATTGACATGACAAGCATGTACGAACACTTAGGTACATACGACTCGCACAAATAGCATCAAGAGGATGAAGGAACGCTTCTTAAACAAACAGCTGCGGCTGCTTCGAACATGATCAGGGATTACATAAACTCTTTATGGTGAGTAGTCGTGAAATGACAGTAAGACAAGCAAACACCAAGTTAGCTTACGAATATCGAGAGCAAACGACAAGATTGTTAGAATAAGTGGTCGTGGGTATTTTTCTTTGTGAGCCTACCAGTGACATTTTCTAGTTTAATTGGACAGCGACTGATTCTTGATGAACGTGAAAAGATTCATGTGGCAGCCATGTAGCATACAGACCAACCCTGCAACCGTGCCAAAGACCACACCTGGGGAGTGGTGCATGTGGCGGGCAAATACCTTTCCGGCCCCTTTGCTTTGTCCTCATTCCGGGGGAGGGGACGATTTTTCTGCAACCGGGCTGAGCATGTTGCCGGGCGATGCACTTGCACCATCAGAAGCTCAAAGATGAAACATGAAACATGAAGTCACTAACTGTTGAACCCTTTGCTCCACTTCAGCCACAGATTCTTCATGACTTTGGAATAGAGGGGCTCTGGTAAACGAGCCTAAGTATAAGGAATCAGCGTTTGGGGCAGTTTGTAAGATAGAATATCTGCATGAAGTTCTGGCCTGTATGCCCCAAACCAGATGTGCGTGATTCCTGTTTGAGTTGTCTGGCCCATGGTCAAACTCCCATACTCGTGCTGCAATTTCGCACCCTCTCGTTTGACACGCTCCAGAACATGTTTGGGGGACGATCAAGTATAGGCTTAAAGACCAACTGACCAAATCTACTATTATCTCGTTTTACAACACTTGAGTTGGGCCTTGAATCTCGTTTACCAACAAATTTGCATTCTAACACAAGAATGCTGATCTCGTTGTTTGGGGGTGACCATCTCGTTTTACAGGCTAAACGCAGGATTTCGCGGAAAACTGACCGACGTTAATCATGTGTCAAGAGACGGAAATTTAGTCCGTCGCTCATTTAAACCTCGGAAGCCCGCACACCATCCTCATCCGCAAGCCCTTTGTGGTAATTCTGAAGCTCCCACAAGCGCGAGTTGCATGCACAAGCACGTTCAAGTTGTGCTGGGCACACCAAGGTAGCGACGCTTTGGCACCGGCATCGCCATTACTAGTTTTAGTGCACGTGCACCATACATGAATCTTTCTGTCGCGGCCATATGCGACTACGGCTGTCACCATCATTATCAATGGTCTACTATGACTACAACTAGAACTTCGGTTGTGACAGCTTCTGTTTGCGCTATTTGCCTCTTGCGTATAATCTCGTGAAGTCTGGTGCCCCCTAACTTCTGTGTGTTTCCGTATGTCTGGACTCTTCTATGAACCATGGAAGACATCGGCGGGGCGCGGTCTGAAAAGCAAGTCCGGGCTGGCCGTCATGGTCCAGCGCATGCACGCCAATTTTCATCCACCAAGAGAATTGTAAACGACAACTACCGCAAGCCACAGGTGCTTGCTGGGTACAGTGACACCGCTCCTCTGCAACTGTAGCCGTGAGGCCGATGGGAGGCAGGAAGCGGCTGCCACCATTGGCCTGATACAGCTCAGGGTACATTTGACTCTAGTTCGTCGAATTGGCCCTTAGCCACAGAAGTTTAGGGTTTAGGGTATGTTTAGATGCTTCGATGTAGCGCACCAGTGGCGGCTTTTTGGGGCTGGGGAATGGTGCGCTGCGGACGGGCTTCGGCTTTCATACTGGGAGAGTCCATGAGGGGAAAGTGCGTCAACAAAGCACTCAAAGTAGCGCCACCACTCTCTTACTTTCTCCGGTGCCACAATCCGCCCTCCAAACTCAAGACAAAACTCATGCTCTTGACGCTCTTTGCTGGCTGTTGTGGTCGCCAAGCGCCTAACGAAGTAGTCTTCTGCGGTTTCTAGCTGTTGCCATCCCAGAGGGATATGCGGAAACCCTATACATCTTAGACAACTGTTATCTTCAGCGTCTGGCCACCCCCCTCAAGTCTTTTTTTATCGTGCGCTTTCGGTTATAACTTTATAAACATGGTCAGCTAAGCCATGAGGCTACGGCCAGCTTCAGGCAAAAACGCTGACGTCAGGGCCTTGCTTTCATGCATCAATAGCATTTGCCAATCTCCTTGCATGGGTTCTACGCAAGGGTTCGAATCATGGCTCACACCGATTCAAAAGCCACAGTCCTTGCCGATGTCCACTGCAGGTTCTGCCCTGGCAAGCGTCTCAGCAAACAACTTAACCTAGGTTTTTTTACAGGAACGTGGGAGATTACAAAGCGTGCCTGCGTGGCCAACTTCTGCTCCAACACCTGGGATCGCTGACAAAATCTTCCGACGTCTGGGCCATGCTTCAACGGCATCTACATTTGCACACACTACATCTTTTCAGCCTTTCACAGCATTGCCATCCCACAGGGCCAAACTTCTACTTGTATAGGAGCCCTTAGCCCATTGTCCCAGAACGCCTCCTATTTATGCTCGGCCTCAATTCCCTTAGCCCCGAATCTGAAACAATCTTCTATAAGCCCTCAATCTGAGATTGTCCATTATACGCCCCCAATTTGGAATAGGCCCCTAGAATCCTTAGAAGGCCCTAATTTTAGATGGTCCCTTATAAGCCCTTAATCTGAGATAATCCATTATAAGGCCCTAATTTGAGAAGTCCCTTATAAGCCCCCAATTTGGAATAGTCCCTTATAAGCCCTTAATTTGAGATAGTCCCTTACAAGGCCCTAAATAGTCCATTACAAAGCCCTAATTTGAGATGGGGTCTTATAAGGCCTTAATTTGAGATAATCCCTTATAAGCCCGTAACGTGAGATGGTCCCGTATAAGCCTTAATCTGAGACGGTCCCTGATAAGGCCCCTAATTTGGAATAGTCCGTCATCAGCCACTCCGCATCCAAGCTTCCACCTGCATGCAACTACGGCAACATGCGAACTAAACCTTGAAGCTGGCATTGGCACGCAGCTGCCGCCTTTTCGGCGCAATCGAAGCTGGCCGCCTGACAGCCACGCTCAGTAACGGACGGTGTACCGTTCGGACCTCCAAGCCTTCTGGGTCTCCTCACCCTGGCAGCAAGAAATGGCACACGCCGGCGGCAGTCAGAATCACGTTGGAGTGGCCCAAGTTCTCGAAGAAGGCTGGTAGGTGAAGGGAATTCAGGCCGGACATGCAGCGTTTTTCTGCTTCACGCCGTCCCACACCTGGTGATAGTATGGACCATCTGCCTCATCGTCCTGCGAAATAAAGGTGGAGTTCTTGTCGGAAGCATCGCCCTCCATCTTGCCAACGCTCATGGTGCCGGTGTGGATCAAGGACGCGTCGATGACTCGCGAAATCTTGGTGCGCACGAAGACGATGTAGCCACACTGGGTCCAAGAACTGGTCACAAATGTTTGTCCGGCACGGCGGTCGTGCAAGGCTTGCATGGGGAAGTTGCGGCGGGCGCAGGTCATGGCGACACCTCCCGCAACATGGCCATCCACCAAGAAGGTGCAGTTCTTGGACAGAGGTTCGAATTGAGACAGGATGCACTTGCCGCAGGCAGTCATCTCGTTGGGATCGTCCGCGGTGATGTGAGCCGAGAACGGCTTGCCGTCTCCCGGCTCCTTGATGCAGGCTCGCATGACCTCCGGATCTGGCCCTGAGGCGCGCCATTCTTGATGAAGTCGCCGCGTCGCCGCCTTGCCAAAATTCGCAGCAGGCCTCGCAGACAGGCTTGGGCT